AGAGGAGAGTCACACACACAGCACACACGCCGCCCGCGCACCACACGCGCACACACCACGACACACAGCACGGCCACACACAGTAGGGCCGGACGTATACCTCACAAGAGATCCGGAACGCACAGCGGTGACGCCGTCCCACCACACCCACAACCTACCCACACACACCACCACCTCCCCCCGCCCACCCACTCACCACCCGGTGACCACACGCGCCGTCACCAACACACACACAGGCCAAGCGCTGACCCGCACGCCGCACCCACCCAGCCCACACACACAACACACACCCACGCACGCACGCGCTCGACACACACACAGCCCACACAGTCCACACAGCACACACACACGATACAGCATACAGCTACCGACCAACACATACATTCTCCTCTGTTGTTCGCGTGCACGGACACCCACCCAGCACGGAATTACATTTTCCGAAGGACTAGGAGCATGATCTATTGATCTATATTGCCTAATAAATATTGAAGCCTATTTCAGGCGTTATTCGATCATTCTATTCTGTGCTGTAGTTTTGTCGAGTTGTATATGATCTCTGTACTGCATTCCAATGCTCGCAGCGTAAGGCAAGAAACACTAGTGATCACTGATCACCCAACCCGACCTTCTTGCCGTAAAAACTACACATATTTTACGCTATAACATCACTATTGACAATAAACGACCTATAAAATTAGCGACATAGTTGTTGAGAACTTCTGGATTCTTTCAAGGATAACCCTGCTGTAAGTTTTCTTCACTGCTCTATCTAGTGGCATATAAGTAGAGATTGTCAGATCAGGCATATCCATCTGGATAAGAGCTCATACGAATTTTCTACATACTAAGATTCTAGGTTACTAAGATGCTAAAATACTTACTAGATTACTAGATTAGTTAAGTTACTAGATTAGTTAAGTTACTAGATTACTAGATTAATTAAGTTACTAGATTACTAGACAAGTTAAGAGCCCTTACCTAGTATATAGTTTTAAAGTTACTAGCAGTGTAGTGTAACAGTGTTTACAGATTAGTTAAGTTAACTAGACAAGTTAAGCTTACTAGATTAGTTTTAAAGTTACTAGATTAGTTAAGTGTCTAGATTAGTTAAGTTACTAGATTAGTTAAGTTACTAGATTGCTAAGATACTAAGTTAGTATATAGCGATCAGTGCTAAGACCGCGCGCGAGCCCTTCATAGATTTCTGCGCCATCTAGCGAGAACGCGCGGAGTGATATATAGCTTATAGGTGAAGACGAGGTTGTATTTCTTTTTACCTCCTTTGTTGGTTGGTCTTGTCGTGTCAACTAGGAATATCTCAAAAAAGTTACAGACGTGAATTGTGAGTGGAATTTTTTGACCGGTTGTCTTGGGCAACAACCAATGCGAATTGTTTGGTGGTTGATTGGATACACGGGAAGTTTTTGAATGATTTCGGTGGACATTATTTGGGAACATCTGTGCCATTATTAGCCGCATATAGGCGGCAGCATGTGTTTCCCGAAGCCGCCATTGCTTCTAGTTGGCAACTGCAGAGTCAAACAACAATAAGTCAATAGAGCAGTAAAACAACGATATTTGGTGGGTGTACCAGCAGAGCATCGGCGGGACTGTTAGGCCGGTGGGCGGAGGTTTGCTAGGCTCCGATTTGCTTCTTTGTTGTCGCAGATTTGCAGGTGAGATGAAGCCCGACGTACGTGTGTTCGTGCGCAGAATCGGTTTCGGACAATCACTGATGGTCGCCAATGCACGTCACCGTCACCTGGAATAGGTAAGCTACCGTTGACCGGTGCGTCGCGGTGTGCGTGCCGTACGTGAGTGGGTCGTGCGCTGTGTGCCGTGCCGTGCGTGCAATTACGTGCGTGGGGTGCTCTGCGAGCCACGGTGCCTGTGCCGCTCGTGCAGTGCTCGAGCCATGTGCCCGTTGTGCGTGTGCGTGCGTGCGTGGAGTGCTGTGGGTGCGTGCCTGTGTGCTGTGCGGTGCGTGTACCGTGCGTGGTTCGCTGCGTGTGCCTGTGCGTACGTGTGACCGTGCGTGCGAGCGCGTGTGCGTACGTGTGCTCTGTGCGTGTGCGTGTGCCTGCATGCGTGCGTGTGCTCTGTGTCGTGTGTGGCTGTCTGCGTGGCGTGCGTGCAATCCTGTTAGTGGCGTGTGCTGAGCGTTCTGTGGCGTCGTGCACACCAGTTTGCATCTTTCATTGAACATCCAGCTAATATTCTCCAGCAGTATGTTTTTGATGATGAAAGAGTTTAAATTCCACTTAGCACAAAGCAATAATAGCAGACATTTTTTTCTGATGGAATTAATTTGCGCACGTACCGTAATGAATATACATCAATGTTTTACTGCGGAGTTCAATAAACTCTATACTCGATAGAATTTGATAGTATTCGTTGTAGTCTGGAGACTAAGGTTGACGCGATTTGTCCACATGAAATAATAAACTCGTAATTATATATTGTAAATAATAAACTATAAATAACTATATAATCTATATAATAACTTTAAAGTGATTACGTCACCGTAAATAGTAAAAATAAAAAAAACATTTCCACTTTTTCACAAAATATAAGTAATTCTGTTCACTTTTTATGGTTAAATTGCTGCATTATATATACTTCCTATTTTACTATATTGTTCGATGTGAAAATACACTCGTGACTCATACATAGCCCATTGCAAGCAATTAATGTTAGGAACATTAATATCAAATTGTCCAGGTTTTTTGGATTTTTAACTAGTTGAGAAACAATCTTATCTGGTAAGAAGTTGACGATACGTTTAGTCCCGTTAGTTCTTACTTTTAATGTAAAAAAAAGGCAATTTTTTTACAAATTTTACCATAGAAAATTCGTGACGTAGTCAATTTAAATATTATCAGGAGTGAATAACAGAGATATAATATTATTCACTCCTGATATAATATAAGAATCTTTTTCTTTCTATTCGCGCGCGCAGTTGCGCCCATCGTGGCCTACAGCAGACCCAACGTGGATGTGTTACACGGCCAGACCATAAGCCTGCCCTGCCTCGTGCTCCTGGGTAAGTATAGTGTAGAGGAACTCTAGCTCACTCTTACTTAGATGGAAGAATAAACGCATAGACTAGTGGTCCTTAACCTTTTTTGAGTCATGGACCACTTTGAGAATCTGATGAAAGCTACGGATCGACCCCTTCCCAGAAAAAATGCACATAAGCACATAAACACTGATTTTTAAGTGCCTGGTTCCCGGACCCCCTGAAGCCCATCCACGCACCCCAAAGGGATCCATGGACCATAGGTTAAGAACCCCTGGCATAGACGAATACAGAGAGGATTTAGTTACAATAATTCATTAATGTATTAGAAAGTAGTTCGTGAAATTTGCGATTTATTCTACCGAAATTCAAAGATAAAAACTGAAAAGCTGTGCGAATTCACATCTCTGATAGCCCTTGCTTCGAGACGTGAATCTTTTCGATTATTTCAAGATGGCCGCCAACTCACAGGCGTTCCAGCGTACGTCCTGTCTCATATAATTTATACCTTCGCAAGCCGATCGTGACTCCGCACATGCACCCTACATTCACTCGCTATTATGATATAACGTATATTACTATATTGATATATATATATCATAATGTATAACGACCATAATGTATATATACGTACAGGGTTCTCCAAGAGCACTTATAGCCTGGCGGCCCGCCAGGCTATCCGTCGAGCCCCGCCATCCTAAAATGCACCTGCCACTCTAAATATCATAGCCGCCATGCTAAAATTAGCTAAAAATGCTAAAACTAGGAGCGTAAAGGCAGCCCCGCCATGCTATAATGAAAAAGCTTGGAGAACCCTGACGTATGTACCATATATGATATACGTCCGCTGATATAATCCGCCTTTACTAGGTAACCCGCCGCCCGAGGTCACGTGGTACAAAGATGGCGAACCGTTGGTTTCACGTGAAGACGGCGTCATCATCCGTCCGGATTCTACCCTGGTCATCCACGACACGAGCGTCGAGCACACGGGCGCCTACCAGTGTCTGGTGAGCAACGTGGGAGGCAACGCCACACTCGAGGTCGTCATCAACGTACAAGGTAAATAACACGAGGAGCGATCGCAGAGTTAAGCAGACGCTTAACTGCCTCTACTTATCTTTACGTGGGGGGGGGAACTTTCTCCAATATCCAATGTCCAATATCCAATAACAATATCAATATCAATGTCAATGTCAATGTCAATGTCAATATCAATGTCATATGTCAATAAGCAAATAGCATATCATGTCAATACTGTCAATATCAATACAGCAATTTGCACTGTCACTGTCTCTGTCAATGTCAATCGTCAATATCAACGTCACATCAATATCAATATCAATATCAATAACAATTAATATTGAGTGTCTCCGGGATCGACTTATGTGTGCGAGCTCTGAAGGTCATAAGCAACAATGAGGAGTTGCTAGGACTTATCGAAACTGTCTGAGACAACGAGTTTCGAAAGAAATTCCGCGATGAACAAAAAAACCACGAACAATTCAAATTAAACAAAACCAAGAAAAAAAACAAATTCACAAGCTGAACTCACTCGCCTGTTAAAGGACCCTATTGTATAACACCTGAGTGAATGATTACTTCGCTGAAGGATGAAAACTATCTAAAATTATCTCATCGAAATTTTCAGTGCCTCCAGCGATCATACTAGAGGAACGGAACTATGTAGTGGAGCAAGGCAATGACGTCACACTGCAATGTCGGCACGAACGGAAACCCTAGGCCGTGACGACGTGGAACAAAAATAATGTTCTCATTACAGATGACCTGCCCAGGTTAGGAACGTGCTGTGAACAGTCGTCACAATATATATATATGGGTGTGTATATATACATGTATAAGTGTGTGTGTCTGTTGGGGATGTAATTAAATAATTTAATGGATTCAGACTTATCTACAGCACCACTACCATCTCTCTGAAAACAGTAGCAACCAGAACAACAACAACCATAATAATACCACTGACGACTAATATTCTTTTAATTAATAATTACATAAAGACACCTTATTATAATAATAATAATATTAATAATAATCACAATTCTGGATTGATATCCCTATGTTCCAGGTTGGGACACGGCCAACCCAGAAGCCTCCGGCTAATGCCGTGATCCACTTTGGAATAAATAATAATAATAATAATAACATAATAATAATAATAATAATAATGAAAACAACTAACACTAATGAAGCGTTACCTCTACTGCTCTAACTTGTCCCACATCTTTGCTAATACGTGTGTTTGCTGTGCTAGGTATGAGATAGAGGAGTCCGGGGCGTTGAGTCTGTATGATGCCCACAGTGAGGGACTCCGGCACGTACAACTGCAGGTGCGATCAACATTGCTGGAGTTGACATGGCTCATAATGCGCCTACTCGTGCAAGGTACGGCTGCCCGATGCGATACATGTGTGCGTGCGTGCGCTGCGTGCGTGCGTGCGTGCGTGCGTGCGTGCGTGCTGCGTGCGTGGCGTATATCTGTGCATGCGTGCGCGTGCGTCCGTGTGTGCGTATATTTTATTATTATGTATATTTTTATTATAGTAATATAAAATATAATATATTTATTTACTGATTTTTTTATATATTTATATATGATGTATTAATTGAAATAATAATTATATAATATATTATTATATTAGTATGTTATATATATTAGATATTATTTATAATAATAATATATTATTTTATTTATTTGTTTATGATATTTAATAATATTTTATTATTATTATTAGTTATAATATTTTATTATAATTATATTATTATATAATTATCGTATATTAATATATATTTATAAATTTTAAAGTTATATATATTTTAAGAAATATTATTATTTGATTATTATAATATTAATATATTATTTATTTTAATTTATTATATATATAATTATTATGATATATTATTATATATTTATGATTTATTATGATTATATTATATTAATATTTATAATTTATTATTAATTTAATAATATAATAAATAAATAAAATATTTATTATTTAGATTTGTATATTATGATTAATTATTTATGATATATTAATAATATATATTATTTATAGACTATTATTATATATGTATATATTTATATAATATTAAATTTATTATATATTGTATTAATGATTATATAATATATATAATTTAATTATTTGATACTATAATAATTATTTATATTTTTAATTATAATAATAATAAAGATTATATAATATTATTTATTTTATATTATATTTTTTATAAATAAATTTTAATTATATATTATGATTTTATAATTATTAAATGTATATTTCTAATTATAGATTTATTTATATAATTATTTGATATACTATATTATTTTTATTGTAATTATTATATCAAATTATTTTATAATTATTTATTATTTTTATAATAATATATTTAATAGATATTATTTATGTATATATTTTTAAGTATATTGAATTTATATTTTTATATTATATTATAGGAATTAATTATTTTAAATAATTTTTTATAATATTATATTATGTATAATTAATTATATACCTGTTATTTTATAATTAATTTTTATTATATTATAATTATAAAATATATATTGATATAAATATATAATATATATAATTAATCTGTATATATTTATTATAAATTAATATTATTTTTTTATTATATAATTTTTATTATATTAATAATTATATATTTTATTTAAAATAAATAATAATTATAATTATTATATATTAGATATTTTATCGGAAATAATTAATATTTCTTATTTATATTATATTAATAGTATCATATTAAAATTATTTATATATTAATATATTAAAATTAATTAATATATATTTTTTATATAATACAGATTAGATATACATATTATATTTTTTATTATTAATATAATAAATAATATTAATTTTAATATATAATGATTAAATTATAGAATGATTTATATATTTCATGAATATATATAATATTATGAATATATATTTTTCTATTATTATTATATAAATAATATATATGATTGATATAAAATGTATTATATAATAGAATAATTTTATATAATATTTATATGATTTATATTAATTATATTTATTATATGATTTTGATTATATTTTATTTAATACATTTTTATTTATATTTATTATTTATATTAATTAATTTAATTTCTGTTATAATAATATATATTTATAAATTTTTTATATATAATAATATTATATTATTTTATATAATAAATAGTAAGATATTTTATTTATTATATTTATAATAATTTTTATAATTAAAATTTATTTTTGTGAAATTATATTTTTATAAAATATTTATATATATATGTAATTTATATTATTATTTATTTATATATATATACTTATTTATTTTATATAGTTAATTGTTATGATTAATAGTGTCCATATATATATATATTATTAAATTATTAAATATTAATAATTATATCATTTATTATATATATTTATAATTCTACTAATTATTATATATTATTTTTATATATAAATTATAATAATAAAATATTATATATAATAATTTTTATATAATATATAATATTTTTATTAATAATTATTGAAATTATTGTAATTAAATATTATTTTATAATATAATATATATTTATAATAATATATAATTTTATATAAAATTATATATATACTAATTAATTTAAGATATATTTTATTTTTAGAATATTGGTATTATGTATGTATTAATTATTTAACATATATCTATATATTATTATTATATATATGTATTATATTAATATATATTAATATTATATATATTATTATTTATATATTTTAGCTAATATTATTAATTCATATTATATGTTTTATTATATATTATTTATTTATAATTTACAATTTATTATATATATATTAATTTACATTTATTTATCTTAAAAATATTGTTTTATAATTTTTTATAATTTATATAATATATTTATTATGAATTATTATATTTTTATGTTAAATTATTTAAATAGTATAGTAAAATATTATAATTATTAGAATTACTTTATTATGATAAATATATTTATATTCTAATAAGTGTTTATTATTTATTATAATATGTATAAGATTAATATAATAAATATCGTTTTTAGTTGCATCATTTTATAAAATATAGTTATTTTATTATTATTCTTATCTATATTCAAATATTATATTATTATTTTATAATATTATATATAAATAAATATTTTTATATTATAATTTTTTTATTAAATTTTATTAATAATAAAATTAAATTTATTGATAATTTGAGATATAATTTATAATTAATGTATATTGTATTTTATTTATAATTAAAATATTTAACATATAATAATTTTAATTTTAAATTATGATAATTTATTATTAAATATTTTCTACTATATTTATTATTAAAAATGATGAATAATATATAGGATATATAATATTATAAAAGTATTTTAAATTTAAGATTTAATTAATTAATTAATATATAGATTATATATTAATAATAATATGTTAATAAATTTTATTATGAAAATATATTATCGATAGAAAATATATAAAGATTATTATATTTGTCAATAATTTATATAATAATTAATTAATAATATAATAATATAGTTAAAAATTTAATATTTTATTTTATATTATATATTTACTTTATAAAATTATTGTTCTTAATAATATTAAAGTTTTATATATTTTAAATATAAAATAGTATATATTTAATTATATAATTATTATTTTATATTAAATAATAATATATTTAATATAATAATCTAATTTTATTTAAATAAGTTTTAATATTTTTGTATAATGCGTAAATTTTATATATATTAAATAATAATTAATTTTTATATTTATTATATATTATCAGTATTCTTTTAAAAAATATTTAATATTTAATAATTTTATTATTTATAAATATTTTATTTATTATTTTATATTGATTAATATATAAATATTATTTAGCATAGTTAAGTATCTAATAATTATATTTATAATTATAAATTAATTTAGATAATTTTAATTATAATTTAATAATTACTAAATAATAAATATTTCATTATAATTTAATGCATTTGATAATTTTTTTAATAAATAAAATTAATATTTATAATAATTTATATTTTTAATAATATATATGTTAAATATATTATAATTGATTTAGATATTTTATATAATATTTATATAATTATTAATTGATAATTTTATTAATTCGAATATATTTGATAGTGATTATATTTTATTATTTTTGATATATTTATGTTATTAATATAATCTTATTATATGATAATTAATAATTAATAATTAATTATTAAATTATATTATTGAATATGTATATTATAATATATTATATTAATAATGTCACTATTGATAATTATTTATTCTTATATTTATTTACAAAAAAAAAATATTATGTATTTTATATAATTATTTATGATATTTAATTTATATATATTTATAATTTTATGTTATAATATTATATATATTTAATTAATCTTTGATTTTATATGTTTTAATTTTATATTTATAATTCCATGTTAATTTCTTTATTTTTAATATTTTATATATAAGATAATTAATATATTATCTAATATAATAATTAAGATTAATAATTTAATTGTATATATTTATATATTTTCTTGTATTATTTTCTTTATAATAAAATAAAATATTAATGTATATTTGTATAAATAATAATAATTAATAATATTATAAATATAGATATAATAATATATTTATAATTTTTATAATTTATATGTAATTAGTTTATTTATATTG